GCCCGAACACTCCTTAACCGCCGTTCTTTCAATGTGAAACTCGTCCAACCCCCCTTACCAGCTCTTTTTTTGACCCTATGTAATTCTTTCTGTTCATCGTTTTTTGCGCTTTTTTCGTTGTTATCGCTTTATTCTAGAGTAGTTCTATTAATTCCCGTCAGGAAAGGGTACCCTAACTTTTTTGTGAACGGTGCCTTTAAGGGATTTTGAAAATCTTGTGAAGGTTATGTTTCATTCACATTATCTAATTAGATGACGGATAACGCGAGGAAAAAAGTTGGATGCATGCTTCTTCTTTGGACATTTTCAGGTTTCAAAGTCATCGCAAAGTTCTCAACAGAAAAGGAAGCCCAGGTTTGTATGAAAAGCATTAGTCTCCTAAAACTATTTGATGCTTTGAGAGTGATTCCTATGTTGTCCCATATCCGCAACGATGTTCTCAGTTGGTATGTATTTCTGGAAAGGTACCATATTCTGTTCATGTAGTTTGCAAGAATCTGCGCATTGCTGTACAACTGTAAAAGTTTTAAAGATTTTTTCACAGCATCAACAGACTTCTCCTACTCCTAGATTGACTACTGGAATGATAGGCTTAATCCGTTGTCACGGATTGAAGAACATTGTTTAAGCTGACGCAATCAAGTATCTTCCTTAACTTTTCTTCGTCAACCAACCAGGTTTCCTGGGGCACAGTGTACGGGCCTGTCAATTGTTGCGTCGGCACCGTCATTCACCGTCGTTAAGTTCAAAGTGTTGGTTCTAGTGTATATTCAGGAGGAGGCTCTGACTGATGTTCACTAATCCTCTCACCCTCCATGTATTATATGCGATAGGTCCAGCAGAACCAATCTTCCTCTGTTGTTGTAAATACGTCGTCGTCAACACGTCCAAGTCGTCGAGGTGTTAGACGCTTCCGCTATACCAAAGGGACTGAGCGTCGCCACCGAGGTCGATCTTATGTTGGTCGCCATCCTTGGGATCCGCTCTTTTCTTGATCAGATTGCATACAAGCTTCATGGCAAACAGAACGCACTTGCTCGATTTTCTGGTGTCTTTTGTTCCATTCGGACTTGGCTGTGGCAGAGCGCTACCGATCTTGATATTTGTATGACTATCTTCTTCAAATGCTAATCCTTCGTTGAACTTTGCCACTGCCACTAAACTTTATAATATATTATTATCGGTATTACAGAAGTTATTAAACGCCTATCTTTTTCAAGACGATCTCCTATTCTGCAACAATCCTGGCTCCTCTGTCTATTACTCGTTCTTGTTACCTGATAGAGTTTCTCACCTTGACATTTTAACGAGTAACTAAATACCTTTTGTCACTGTCTGATCTACTTTCTCCTTTCCATTCGCTAAGAAGTTAATCTTGTTTCGTCAAATTTATCTATGAAGTCGAGGAGAGAGAACCTTCATGCCAAGCAGAATTCTCCAGGGTAGCTTATGTGTCACGCTGTCATCACGATGTTTCATCGGTATCGATACAATTGACCAGATTTTCCATCTTACATCTGCTGTCCTGGGGTGTGGTGCGTTAGGAACGAAATGGCCGCGTCGCGGTGAGAGGGGCGTCGCGCGCGGAATGTAGCAGTATGCAGCAGTAGGTAAGAAATACAAGAACAAAAGTACTAATAGTAGAACTATGCATAAAATAATGATCGCATGGCGATTGAGCTGTATGAAGAACGCTAGAGCCGTAATAACGGCGAATGAGTGGTCCGCGACAGCTGGCGCGGCAAATCGATTACCCCAAATCGCTCCTAACGCCCGTCTCCCGCTGTCCTGTCCTCGAACAGTAATTCTACTGGTAATCCAATGGATTTTTATGTAGGCCTGATATTTTCGTTTTGAGTAGCGATGCAAACACGCAACTTTCCAGCATTATACCATTGACGAGTATTAGCACTGACTCAAGAAAACGATCGATGTCTCGGAGCGAATCAAGTAAAATGAGCAAGAAGATGTCCACGTATGTTCAATATGCTTTATGGTTGGCTTTACATATTTGCTGGTATTTTGCGGACTTATGTAAACATCCTATTACATAAAGAGAGATCACACTTGCTAAGGGAGCAAGTGCACTTGAACTAAAAC